AGTATCGCGGTTGGAACCGTAACCATTTTTATCTCGGCTCTCTGCGTAAATGCAAATCCGCATGAGTTCAAAATCAAACTACCACTGAGTCACATGTTTGCGAGTCCTATGGCAAAGTCGGCTTACATATATTTTTTTAATATTAATATTTTCAGTGTTTAGTATAAGCAGTATATTCATATAGACTGAATGTCATACTGTGTTGCCACCGTTACGTGCCAGGGGATGTTCGACACTGTCGTGTGTACAGACAGTTAATAATGCTGAGCAATGGGAGACTGTTTCCGAATGAAGTATCATTCACCAGATTATATATACAGTACCTTCCTTGCGTGGACTGCCCATAATATATTATAATAAGGCTTATGAATATTCAAAATAATGCACATAAGCAGATTGCCGAATTGAAGAGGATAATTTAGAACCAGAATTAGTATAGACAGCTTAACGCAATGATCCCGGGACCCGCCGTAGGCGGCAGTATTTTCATGCGAGGTCAATTTTGGATCACCAGGTCATTCCTAAACGCGTAATTAGGACTGAGACGAGAATCAATTTTGGGTGCCAGAAATCAACCAAAGACGCTTATTTGGGTATAATTTGCGCTGTCAAGACAAAGTTCAGGTTAATAAAATAAGATTGACGACGTTTTCCCAGGAGAAAAAAGTGAATTATTTGTTGAAAAATGGATACGCACAAATTGTGACGTCGACTCAACGCATACAATGCAGCGTCATGGAAATTGTCTGCAGTACACGTACACGCATCTTTCGATGACGTAGGTTATTTTTCTAGCCAGCTCAGGACGCCGCGCCGTACACACATTGTACTAATAGAAGGTAAGAGCTCTTGCCCTTTTCCACAAATTTTAATATATTCTTAACAATTGCTTTACCTATAAAACTCTGCACACCATGCTATGATCATTCAGTGTTTTGAACTAAACGACTCACCGCTTAGCAAAGTCAATTTTCAGGATTTATTGGCACACAATGTCATGAATCAGGGAATCTAATGGCCAAAAATAAATCGCCAAATATTGCATCGTACATAAATGAGGACAGCGATTTATTAGGCCTATGTCCTGTGAACTCGTATGATTTGTGTGATGTGCACATGCACGGTGCGACTAGTAACAATTACCTAACGTAGCGGTCCTTCACGCCACAGTTGTCACGATGCATTTCAATAAAATAGCATCTAAAACCAAAATAAGGCCGACATGTGTAAATACTTGTACATTAGTCTGGTCTATGCAGCCAGCAATAATGAAATTGTAAGAATGGCATTGGCAAAATGATGACCTCGGATGTAGCCATGTCTAGGGCATGGATATGATTTATAGTCGTCCACTAATGTAATGTTATAGTGTCTATGAAGTATGTGATCTTCATTAATCATTTGTGACCACGCCATTGATTATATAGGCTACCACACACTGTATAATATTGAGCAGAAAGCCATGCAACAAACTGCATTTCATTCACCACATTGGCATAGCTGGCTGTACTCATTCTTACTTTTTCATGATCATTGTTTGGCCCACTACAATTTTCTTGTGATTTAGGCGGATTTTTGTCACATGCAATAAGCAGCAAGAGCAGCAATGTGTACATCAGAGTGCTTTTATCATGCTTGTGTTGTTGCTATTGTAGATAAATGGCCACAGCACGAATGTACATAACTGTCATTTATTAGGCAGTAACTGATAGGGGCCTATTCCTTGTGCTGATGTCTACATACACATACACATCAGTGAAAGTTTTGCTGTCGCCAGCTGCCATTTTTGAAATGATGCCATCGATCAACAGTTCATGCCACTCATCTCAACCTTAAACAATGACATGTGTTGTCATTTGTTATAAAGGCCAAATTTTATTTTTATGGAAATGAGTTCCCTTTTTCTAAAACGAACAAAAGTTGATATTAATATCATCATGTAAGAAAACAATTGTTTAAAATGATTGTATTTGATGTAGACTGAACATGTTGGGGAAAAAATAAATCTAAAATAATAAAATCCCTGCCTAACTACCCAATATTTTTTACCCTAATACTGGAAACACCAAATTTGTTTTTCATTGGCCTCATAATGGTTTGAGATCTTTTCAACATGATCGACATAAATAATGAGGGATGAACTGGTATTCTGTACAAACAGGTCCATGCATTTACATTCAGTTTTTCTGGTTTGATGTTGACTCATTTACAGCCCTGTCATTGGTGATACCAGGATTTTACTCCTTATAGCATGTGTCTTATGCAAACCAACAATGCTGTCTTTGCACATGGTCAATTCACTTGGGTTATATGTCAGATGGCACATTGTCATTGCCATGCGTTAAATTCATTACTTTTACGAGTTATATCAGTCTGATGGGATTGATATCATCAATGATATTCCTATGAAGTACAATTACATTTGATATAGTCTCTTTGCACTCACTTTATTTCCTATTCATTCTAAATGGACAGTTGCATGAACATACAATACCCTAAAAGTAAGGGGGTATATTTGTACGACACCCTGTAATTTTGCATGATATGGGTCTATAATACTGTCTTGTACAATGTTGTAAACAGTTAACTACTGGTTTTGTACAGTTTATTGTTGCTGCATATATACAGACAACAAGATATAATATGACTACTACCAAATTGGTTGTGATACCTATCATTTTGGTCTTCCGTCAACACTTGTGTGCTTTTGCACCATGAGTCGCTTCATGCACATCATACCAGATTTAATCATGACACTCTGTTGACAACACTAATTTACCTCATTATAATGTTAATGTGCATAACCTGTGTTAATTTTCAATGAGAGGATGCTTGAATGCACGGCAGTGCTTTCAGCTTCCTCTCGCCAGTTATTTACAATGTGCCTCAAGATTTAATTATGGAAGTCCAACCATTTCCAAAGCATTATCTATTTCAACAATGTTCTTCCTATTGAAAATTCCTCTACTCAACACCTTACTCAAATCATTCATTACCTTTATATAATCCTCACAA